CACACACACTCTGCTGAGGTGGCCCTCCCTTCCGTCTCCTTGAAGGAAAGCACAGGGACACGCTGTCCTCTTTGGATAAGCTATAACTAAGCTATCGCCAAAGCCCCTCCAGGTTCTTATAGAGTTAACTAGAACTGAAGAGTGGAAAATGTCCTGGATATTCTGGACATCACTGCTGCTTGTGATGCACTCACTGGGAATGACCTGGCTAATTGCTAACAATATGACCAAATATATGCCAGTAAAAGTGTAAGGTGTGTCCAGGCACTGTTTGCACAAGACCTAGGGACCACTGTGGGTAAACACTTGAGTGGTGTCATGTTAAGTCAAAATTAATGCCATTAAGTGAGATGCTGTGTCCAAGCACTATAGGAAGCTTCACACCAGACATTGTTGGAGAGATGTATGTTTCCTTAGAGGTGAAAGAACTTAATTTTTGTCTGCTCCATCTCCACTAGGGGGCAATCTTTTCCAACTCAGGGGTCTTAACTGAAATTGTAGCCTGCTCAGTCTCCTTGCTGGTATAAATTTTAGTTTAGCATGGCACACTTCTGCCTTCTGAATTGCTTTTCTGGAAGTTTCTATTCCTTCCACAATCAAAGCAGTCAATACTCACAAGGAGTGCCCTCCTTTGACATTGATAAATATGTTAGTCTCTATTGGAAGAAAACTTCTAAAATTGTTTCTGTGAATTCATTTGTAGCAGTGAGGTGCTTGTTGTACAAAATTTAAAGCTACCTGTAACTTGGGGAAAACTTGGATCTTGTAAGTGCCCAAATCTCCCATGGGTTCTGAATCGTGGAGCCACTCTCCAAAAGGCAGAATACTGACACACTACAAAACTTACTGGAACAAAATTTCACTTTATATTTCCTCTTTGGGGGCTGGAGAGATTGCTCAATGATTTAGGACATGTCCTTATCTTCCACAGGACTCCAGTTCTATTCTCAGAACCAGGTTGGGCTTCTGACAACTGCCTGTAACTACGACACTGAGTAAAGAAACTTCTCAGGGGAGAGGAACACACGTGTGCTCATGGGAATAGCAAGCAGTTAGTCTGCAAGAATCAAGGACAGTGGATGACAAGCCTGGCTATGACAAAACTTTCAAATAGTTGTCATTAGTGCATCTCTCCAGGTTCCTCTGGCTTATGTGGCCAGGCTGACTACAAAAGTCACTAAGCCTTTAGATCAGCCAATTGTACCATCATCTTAGGTCTTAATTGCTACCACAGAGTCTAGATGAAAGCTATGGAGAGTTGCACTCTATCTCACACTGCCGCTTTTACTATGTGAGTTTGGATTGTTTGATTTTGATCGACTGGTCCTGGCAGAACCTGTAAAGGAGTGTGCTCTGGATTCTTAGTCATGTCCACCTGTTACCTGCTGTAACAGCCTCTGTTACCTCTTGGGTCCCGTGAGTCATAGAAGTTTCTATGCAGCAAGGTGTGCCCCTTCCCAGGCAGAAGGCGTCCAAGTCTCAGGGCCAGGGTGAGCACAAGCGCTCTGCAAGCAGTGAGCCCAAGGGTCAGACCAGGGGCTCTCACCAAAGCGTTCTATGTTTCCGGAAGGAGTTACAGAAGAGCTGGCCCACGGAGAGCCTGACCCTGCATCTACAGTGATTTTGTCTCAAATCTTCAACCCCCGCCCCCAATAAAACCAATTCTGATTCCATCTCTGATATGTGTAGTTACCAGAAATGACTTCACAAGCCCAAGGTCATAATTATGGAGGAACCAAGAGGTCATCACTGAAGAGGACACTTCTTGCTTTGCACTTTCCTCTAAGAAAAGCTTTAAGAATCTGAAGGCTCAATTTAAATAGCATTATGGTACAGAGTGGGACATCTTCCTGGCTTTACCACCTACCTAACTGACTCTGAGACCTGGCAAAAGTCACTTCCCCTATGTGGCCTATTTTTCAGCTGCAAAATTAAGATGTTAGCTGACTCTGGTCAGGGCACAGGGAAGAACTCTCAGGAAAGCTCGGTTGTGTGTAACCATCTGGGGGTGGTGAAGGTCATTGGTACATGCCAGCACAGCCCTCCCCGACCCCGTCATGTACAGAAATCAGCTAAGGTTTGTTGCAGTTAGAAAACACTAGGACAAATCAATTTCACATTTCATTAGAACTATACCCATTTTCCTGAAGATGAAACTGCCGCCTAAGCAGTTTCAATAATGCTGCACAAAGGTCACACAATGTACAGGTGGTCAAAACCGGTCTCCCTGGAAGGGCAGGTCCCCTGCAGGAGGCTCGCTCCCCAGCCTGAGGGGGTGCAGCCTCAGCTCTCACCATCCCCAGGAAGGCAGCATTCAGGACCACGGTGATGAACCAGCGCAGCACACTTCCCCGTTGGCCACTGGACACAGCCTGGAGCCCAGTCTTCTGTGGGATATAAGCCTGGAGGAGGCGCTGCCCAACAGCCTTGGCTTGGGACCCACGGGACTCCATTTCCAACTCCAGCTTGGCAGCTCCCGACAAGGGGTTTTGCTGTGGCCTGATTCTTTGGCAGGGTCCCTGGAGCTCTGAGTCCCTGGTCCTGACTAGAAGACTTCTTCCAGAGCCTCCTCCCACCAAGGACAGTCCTGAGTCAGGGCCTTGGGAAGTTACACTTTGGACTGGCACGTGGTGGGAGCAGCGGACACTGGCGCCCATCTCCCAAAGCTCCTAAGAAAGACATTTGGCGGACATAGGCCTCTCTCAGCAATCAGCAACCCAGCTTCTTGGGGAGAGCAAATATGGCTTCCTGGAAAATCACATGTTCTCCTGGCTTCATTGAGGGTCATTCTCATCTAAGTGCACACGGGTGGCCGCACCGGCACCATGAGGCAGAGAAAGCTGGAAGCGCAGCCTCAGAAGAGCCCAGGTAAGAAGCTTTTGGGGCCTAGAGAGATGGCTCAGATGTTAAGAGCACTTGCTGATTTTTTCAGAGGACTTGAGTTTCGTTCTCAGCACCCATATCAGGCAGTTCACAACCTACACACACACACACACACACACACACACACACACACACACATTCTTAGCTTTTGTGAGTAGTCAGTGGTTCCCACTTCTCTGCAGGCAGCAGAGGGCAATCCATAATGGTACCTGGTCTGAGCACCTCAGTGTACTCTATGAGAGGTCTTAAACAAAGGCCCCGAAGCACCTTGAGAGCCAAATGGCAGCCTTCCTCTCTGGGGACTCTGCAGCAAGTCTAGGGGGGGATGAAATCTAACAAGGCACATGGAACCGAGAAAAGAGTTGATGCAGAACACAGAAACGGTACCACATAAATCCCAGGACAATTGGAAGGAGTTGGTTCTCTCCTTCCAGTGTGAGAGTCCAGGAGCAAACTCAGGTTGTCACGCCCAGAGGCAAACACGTTTTCTCACTGAGCCGTTTGTCTCCGCCAAAGTATCTGTTTTGTTCCTTTAGTAAGACACCAGTTCCCACTGCGATGATGGAAGAGCTCAGTATGAAACGAGAGGCATCAATGCATGATTACATGAGGTGCCTGGAAAAGACTAAAGCAGCCTTGTGACCACCGTGCCAGGGATGATGTTCTCTACCCCTGTGGGGACTGGGGACTGAACTGAGGCCCACACTGCTAGGCAAGTTCTCTAAATAAGCCTGAGTGAAGAGTCACCCACTACATCCCTCCTTATTAATCAATGGTCTATAAGAAACTGCAGTTTCCCTGGTGATGGGAGAAGTGTTAATCCTAAAATTCTCAAGAAAGAAGAACCAAGTCCACGACTGTTTAAAAATAAAGCAAGCTGTGTTTAGGGATACCCAACGCTGGCCAGTGACTGTCTCCCCCTAAGTTGGAGTTTCTGAGCACAGCCCCCACTGGCCTCTCGAAGTCCTTCATATAGGAGCATAAGGTGCTCACAGCGGGTGAGGGGCTGGTGGTTATCTATTGCTAAAGGGTAATAATAAAAGGGGAGGAAAAAGGCAAGGATACACATCCACTGAATGGGATTACATGCAGTTTTCATCAGACCAGGAACTCATTCTTGATTACAGATAGAAACCTTCTTTAGTAGGGAATTAACATAGGACTTATCTCTTAGCTGGGAACAGACAGGAACTGTTTTAACTATAAACAGAGCTCTTTTAAAAATTTATCATTATTAAACTTATTTTATTTGCATTGGTATAGAAGGTATCAGATCACCCAAAACCAGAGTTACTGACAGTTGTGAGTTGCCCTGTGGGTGCTGTGAATTGAACTTGGGTCCTCTGGAAGAGCAGCCAGAGTTCTTAACCTCTGAGACACCTCACCAGCTAAACAGAGCTCTTATCCTGCATGGTATATTCTTTGTTTCAGTTTCTCATTAACCTGTGAGATATATTTTTGGTTTGGCTTTTACAGAATCTGAAGTCTAGAGTGAGCCAGCGGCGGGATTTCTCCTCAGAGCTCTGGCAGCTTTCAGACCACCTTGCAAGAGAGATGGAGCTGAGACAGGGTGATTCAAGGGATCACTTTGACCATGACGGCCTTGTTATGTATTTCACTTGCCTTCTGTTACCTGACCTGACCTCAGGACCCCATCCATGATGGACTTGGCAGAAGACATGCAACTTCTTCGCTTGTTCCTCATCCTAACATTGCTGCCCTGAGAAAATAAATCTCCTTCCTCTGCTTTTCATTATTACTCTTTTTAACTGAGTGTTGAGGACCAGTGGCTGAGGCTAGGTTGTGTTCAGAATAAGACCACTACCACAATGTTTGAGCTAAATTTGAAGCAAGCTTTAATTAAATACTGACCAGGATGATGGACTCTGGTCCATTTCAGGGTTCCCAGAAAATGGAAATAAGTCACATTTTGCAAAGACTTATAAAGGCAAACCATAAGGTTACTTATTACCCACCAGGTCCAATCAGAGAAAAGCATATATCCTGACATAATTCCTGCCTACATACTTCACACCTACATCTAATAAGGGGCAAGCATACAATCTGACATATTTCCTACCTGAGTGCCTCCCTCCTACACAAGATCAAGCACATCTGGTGCAGCTGGGGCAAACAAACTTGTTTAAGAGAGTGAACACATGTGGCTTGTTATCTTCCATAAGCAACAGCCTCCAGCACTTCAGGAACTATCTGTCCTTGGGCAAGGGACTTACAGGGTAGAGGAATTGTGTCTCATGGATCTCTTAGGCACAGTAATTAACACCTACAGCATAACTTTGGCTGTCACAGTTGTCAGGCTGCCAGGCCTCAGTCTCTCCCCGCAGTTCCAGTAACAGCACTACTAGGTTCTGAACAAGAACTCCAGGAACTCTCAATGTTGGTGTCCTAGAGAGGATCACTAGAGCAGGAAGAAACAGGACATTTTGTTTCCAAGACCAACAGATCTTGACATTATTCTGTCAAACCCTTTAACACTTCTGCTTCTAAGAACATCACTATTTGGTTGGAACCTCCAGCTCACCCTTATATGATCCAGGAAGCCCCATTCCTCTCTTTCATCTCCTCTCTCTCTCTCTCTCTCTCTCTCTCTCTCTCTCTCTCTCTCTCACACACACACACCCCACCCACTCAGACTCTCCAAAATGGAAGGCACAAAAAAGCCTAGTTACTTTTTGGTGGCTATTGTAGCTTCCTACCCTGAAGTTGCCAGACACCCTAGTTCCCACCTAAAGCACCCAGCTTTTGACTACACTTGGGCATAAATCCAGCTTGTGGTGGAGATATCATCACCCATAGCCTACAATCTCTACAGCAACCCTGGTTTTATTTGTGGGCATGGCATCTTTGGCCTTGATCTCTGGGAGAGTAGAACCTGCCTGGGAATTGCTTTTATCAAATAAACCTGTTACACCTTTTCAACTCGACTTGATCTGGCTTACTGCATTGGTGGAGACACCTTTTATCAGGGGGCAGAAAACCTATTAATCACCTCCAAATGAAGGACTATCCTGTTTTCCAGATTTAGAAAGCCCTGAAAATGAAGTAATCCTTGCTGTTGGCAGTCCTAAAAGAGCAAGTAAAAATGAACCACTGTTCACTGTGTAAATATGGCGTCATGAAGTCAATGGGTAATCACACTCACAGGAAGGCAGATTCAGAGCAGGAAAACTAAGGGTGTGGTAAGGGAGAAATGGGGGTTCATCATGCTTGGTGTCAGTCATGCTTAGTGGGCTCAGGTTAGCCACAAGATTTAACCTCAGCTCTCAAAAGTAAAGTCTCATTAAATGGAATTATGAAGGATTTGTGATGTTCTTAAAAAGAGGTAAGATGCCAGGAAACTGTTGGGAAGAAATGTGGGCTGAGAACTGCGAGGGAGAAACTGGTGTGTCCCCTTCAGGTCATCTGGGAGCAGGGAAGCCAAAAGGCCCGGCCTTATAAGACATCCCAGCTCCCTGTCCTGTCTGCTCAACATCTGGGCTTCCAGGCGGGCCATTCACCATTCACGCTGCCAAAGCTGGCTGAACCTTGTGGGTCAGCTTCACATGAACCATCTCCAGCCTCCCAACACAGACTCCACCTTAGCCCTGTACTCAGCCAGGAGGATTACAGCTTACAGAGTATGCAACACCTCACTCAAGAGTGGTCAGTGAATCCCTGGCTATAGCTGGACAGTGAGTGAATCCCTGGCTGTAGCTGGACAATGAATGAGTTATGTCACCCAAGGGGAAAAAAAACAGATCTTTAAAAAGAAAAGTTGAAAAATGGTCACATTCTGTAGCCCATGCTGGCTTGGAACTTACTCTGTAGCACAGGCTGGTGTCAAACTCATGCCAATCCTCCTCCATCAACCTTCTGCGTGCTGTGTTACAGCCTCCATTCCCAGCTTAAGGCTGAATTTTATTGGCTCTTTACTCAAACCAACCGTATCTGTCTTGGCCTTGGTGTTACAAGCCCATAATCTCAGCACTTTCAAGGAGAGAGAGAAAGACCAGGAATACAAAGCCATTATCGGCAACATAGGAAGTTTGAGGGCAGCCTGGGCTACATGAAACCTTGTCTCTGGAGCCAGCTAACAAGATGGCTCAGTGTGTTAAAGCATTTGCCATGCAGCTCTAGAACCTATGGTGGAGGAAGACAATTAGCTTTTGAAAGTTGTCCCCTGACCTGCACATGTGCCATGGCATGCAAACACACACAGACAGACAGACACACACACACAGACAGATAATAAATACATTAATAGTAATAATATAATAATAATAATAATAAAATTAAGGAGTAGCTCTGTCCTGACTGTGCAGCCTCTGTCTCTGTCCCCGTGGCTCTCCAGTCTCATCACCACATGCACTTAACCACTTTGCAGCCAGACCACAGACCTAGGGTCCTTATTCCATGTAAACAGGCTCTCCAGCTTCTCCTATCCCATTCTCTCCTTCTACCACATGGGCCTGGGAATGAAACTCAGACCATCAAGCTTAGTGGCGAGGAACTCTGCCCACTGAGCAATCTGACCCCAGAGAAGTCTAAGAATATGAAGTATTTGTAAGTC